AGAATGATGTCACGGAATTCTCGCTTGTAAACTTTATTGTAACTTTCTTCCGCCGCTTCCAGGTTTAGACAATAGAACAAAGTGATGAAAGAACAACAAAATATATCATTAGTTCCCCCAATAAAGTAATTCACGTATACAGTATACATTCTTTTTCACAGTTAACCTAAAGATCACTTTACAACTTGCTTCACTGTGCGCATGCTAACTAAAGGAGAGAAAAACGCTTTTTTTTTTTTTCTGGTATTTTTTTTTTCTTTTTTTTCCCTTTTTTGGAAGAGACATTTAAAAATTGGGGAAAAAAGGAAAAAAAGAAAAAAAAAGGAAAAAAAAAAAAAGACCGAACCAAGGAAAAGAACAGCAGGGAAAGCAAAGAGAGGAAGAGAGAGAGAAAGAGAGAGATAACTAGAGCATAAATAGGCAGTTTCATGTTGTTGGGATGTTTGTTTCAGTAGCTACCTCCGGCACATACAGATAAACCACAACCAAAAAGGTGGAAAAGGAAAAGAAAAATCAAATTTAAAAAAAAAAAAAAAAAAAAAAAAAGTGCACGAACGTAATTTCACGTAACTCCTCTAGCATTGAAAGCTACGTTAACCAACCCACCCCCCAGGAAAGAAGAGAGAGAGACAGAGAGAAAGACAGAGAGAGAGAGAGAGAGAAGATTTCACAGTCATGTTTTACATAAGCTATTGCGTTACACTACCACTAGTTAATAACTGGCAAAAGGCAGGAGAGAGCTCCCGATCACTTTTGCATACTGTTCATTGTATCAAAGGATAATCAGGAAAGTGGTGCTTACAGCTATATTGTTTTACAGCAATAAAAGGGTTTTTTTTTTCCTTTCTCTTTTCTATGCATTGTTGTTTTTTTTTCCCCACCCCTCCCTTACATTAACTGCCATTAACGTGGGGCTCGGGGGCTCTGCCACCCCAGCAGCGCTTGCCTTTCAGTCCTTAAAAATCCTTTTATTTCTTGTCCGCCTTCTGTGCTTCCCCTTCCTCGTCCACCTCCTGGGCTCTTTCCATTTTCTGTTTTTCCAGTTCTTCCTGCTCGCATTTGCTGCTGGGAAACTTGTCTTTGTTGTTTTCCTTTTTCCATTTCATCCTCCTGTTCTGGAACCAGATTTTGACCTGCCTTTCTGTCAATCCCAGGGCATGCGAGACCTCGATCCTCCGTTTGCGGGTCAGGTAGGGATTAAATAGAAATTCCTTCTCCAGTTCCAGCGTCTGGTAGCGGCTGTAGGTTTGCCTCCCCCTCCTCCGTCCAGCGGCTGCTGGGGGATGGCAAAGGTTGGGTGGGAGAGGGGAAGGAGAGAGAAGGAGGTTGAGAGATACATAAACCAGGCTCGGGAAAAGGCGCACTCGGGCTCCCACCCGCTCCCACACACTCGCACACGCGGGCGGGGAGGGGGAAGGAAGAAAGGACTGGCAGGAGCAAAGGCAGGAAGCAAAGAGGGCGAGGGAAAGGCTCCTGGAGGATATTTTCAAAGGGAAGATGGTTATAAAGGAAAGGGGCGATGGTGGCGGAGAAAGGGAGGGGAGGGGGGGGTCACCCACCAGCCCACCCCGAGCAGGCTGCACTTGCACACTGATTATTACCCCGAGCAGCAGCACCACCACAACACACTCCGGCACCTCGGGACCCCCGCGAAAGAGAGGAAAAAAAACCCCAACAGACCCCGAATAAAATAAAAATAAATAAATAGCCGCGGCCCCGGGAGAACCGGCAGCACCGGCGAGATCCCAAATCAAACGCAAAACAAAAATGAAGGGGCTTTTTAAGGCTATAAAAGTGCCATAAACTTTAAGGACGCTTCCTTCCACAGAAAGCCCGGCTCGCTCAGCCCCCAGAAGAAAAGGTCTCCTTCAGGGTAATTAAACTATAAAGCAATTTACAAGTGCAAAAGTTTACCCCCATAAAGCAGTAAAATACAGTCAGCGGGGAGAGAAAAAGGCAGCGAAAGAAAAGCGAGCGGCCGAGAGGGGCAAGGAAGAAAAGCGAGAGGGCGACTTGGCGGGCTCGGGAAATGCCTCCTCGCCGTCCTTTTCCATCTCGCCTCACCTTGCGGTCGCATCCAAGGGAAGAGCTGGGTCGGAGAAGGGCTTTGCTCGGAGCTCTCCGCCTCCTCCCCGAGGCCGCTGGCGGCGAGCTTGCAGTCCGTGTACTGCACCAGGTCCGACTCCTGGGCGCTGAAGAGGCTCTGCCTTTGCAAGGGGTCGTAGCCATAGAAGTTGCCGGGGTCCCCATGGCACGCCACGGCGCAGGGATTCTGTTGGTAAGGGGAGCTGGAGAGCGAGGACGCGCCGTGGTAGAACTCCTGGATTTGGGTGGGGTGCTGGAAGGTGCCCCCCGTGCCGGGGCCGTACACCACGGTGGGTCTGCCCCCGAGGTCCTGGGCGAACCCACAGTCATAGTAGTTGGGGCGCAGGGAGTCCCCGGTTTTGTACTTGGAGAAGAGTGAGTTGACGAAATAAGAGCTCATTTTAATTTAAATAAGAGACGGTCGGGTTTGGAGGAGGAAGGAAGAAAAAAATGTTTATATAAAAAAAAAAAAAAAAAGGAAAAAAAAAAAAAAGGGAAAAAAAAAAAAAAACCAAACAACCCAAAACAACAAAAAGAGAAGCCAACCAAAAGCAGACCACGGGAATCTATTAGCAAAAAAAGAAAGCGCTAAGATGCTAAGCAACGACAGTTTGTGATTTCCAGGAATATAAAAGGAGGATATAATCAAAACTCTAAGCCTGCATGATATTGAATTCTTTCCTCCCCCCCACCCCTAAAAAAAAAAAAAAAAAAAAATCGCCACTTAAAGAGTTCTCGCTTTACATTTCCAAGAAGAGATGCCAGTTCATAAACAGTTTTCAGTGATTTACTTCAGCGCAAATGAGTTGTTTCATATTTTGCAGTGTCTTTTCATGATCATTTGCATCTATTACCAAAACCTCATCCTATTGGCTTCTCCTTACTCCACACGGACTCTGCACCGCATGATTGTGAAAGGAAGAGTGTGAGAGAATAAAGAAGGAAAAGCAAGCGAGGGGGAGCGAGAGAGGGAGAGGGAGAGAGAGAGAGAGAGAGAGAGAGAGAGAGAGAGAGAGGGAGTGAGAGGGGAAGGGAGAAGGAGGTGGGGTGAATATACGGATTAAATATGTTTAACTACCTACATTAATGAGATATCGCTCGCCTCACAACAAATCACGTACCTAGACCACCCAAAAGATTGATTTTTGGGGAGTGTTGGAAAATTAAAGAGAAGCGCTCGCAGTCGTTAATTTCGAAATTTTAACGAGGCAGTTTTAGCCTTTTTAAATGTCAGGGTCGCTTTGGAAAACTGTAAAAGAACACGATTTAATTGCTACCAGTTTTAAAAGGTCCTATAAATGTAATTGGTATTTTAATACAAGTTATCAAATCATACAGCTTCTTACCCTAAACATATTTTAAAACAAACGAGGTAGTCATATTTAACATTTTAATGATCAATTTCCTTATTATTGATAAAGGTTTAACTATCACATGAAGGGAATTGCATTTGTAATAGCCCCAAAAAAGGCTGTAAACTGTTTAACAAACTATAAAACGCCATAAAGCCGGGGATGTTGTTGTTGTTTATACCGCACTACATAAAAGCCGTTAGGATTTTACGAGTTCGTTCCTCCACCGCCATAAAGCAGAGGTTTCGATTGGACCCGTCCGCGTTACGGCGAGATGTCGGGGTGTCAATATTGAATTAAAATGATTATAGTTTTTCATATATAACATTGACTTTTCGTGGCTCTTCCCGCAGCCCCCTTTCCCTGCCTTCCTCCTCCTCCTCCTCCTCCTCCTCCTCCTCCTCCTCCCCCGCCGAGGACTCGCTCAAGATGCGGTTGGGGACGATCGGGAACTAAAAGTCTGGTGTCGCTTATCACCTCCCGACCAGAACCTCGCCCGATGGTCGCTCCCCGCTCCCCCCTCCCCGAGAACTTCCAGTTCTTTCTTTATTTCGCCCCCTCCTTGCCGGTGAAAACCGGGGGGAAAGGGGGATGGGGGAGAGAAAGAGGAGAGAGAGGAGAGAGAGAGGAGAGAGAGGAGAGAGGGGAGAGAGGGGAGAGAAGGCTTTCTGTTTTATTGGCATTTGGTAACAACGGTGCGAACTTACCCCGAAGATGCCAACGCTGCAATTTTCCACCGCCTAAACACACAGGGGGTAGATTTTCAAATTCATTTATGGCAGTCAGCAAATATTACCGAGGCGTATTTCAGTTAATAACGACTCCGAGCCCTCCCCAGCCCGGCGCTGCCCCAGCCTCTCAGCCCCCAGGACGCCCCTCCAAGCCCCTGTTCTCCAACCCTTCCACCTCCAAGACGAGTTAAAGACACTCTTTTAAACCTCTATTTTCAATTTCCCCCCCCCCCTTTTCCACCCTTTTGCCCTGGGTAGGTTTCTGCTGCTTTCCCATCGCATCCCTCTGCGCGGGTTTTGCCCGGAGAAATGTGAATTAAAGGGGGTTCTGCTCCTCCCTGCCTTCAGCTGAGGGACAATTTTTGACCTCCACGACATGGAAAAAGAGGAAAAAAAGTTGGGATGTTTCGGTTAGTCTGTCTTGCCAAGGCTTTGGGGGAGAAAAAATAAAAATCCACTAAAATCAAGAGTGGGAATAGGCAGGGAATGAAGAAAGGCAGGAAGAAAGAGAAGGAAAGAAAACAAAGATAGTAACGGAATAAAACTTTAAAACCATCCTTAGAGAAATAATTTAAGTAAATACATTTCCTTTATTTTGTGTAGGGATAATTTCAGCCGAGTCTAAGAGCCTTTTCAAGTAATTATTGTTGTTGGAGCACTTGCAGTGGTATAATTAAGGCTTTCTCCCCCCTAAAAGACAAGTTAACATTTTATTTTTCCCAACACTTTTATTGTCGATTGAGCAGATTTGGGTTTCATCTCTGCACATAAAAAGCCCCGAAATGGTGCACAGAAGTAAATAGAGCTCTGCAGCTCCGGCGTGGGGATGCGGGATGCTGGAATATTCAAGGGGAAAAAAAAAAACAAAACAACACAACAACCCAACCAAAAACCAACAACTGAATCGACCAAAGCAATTTTAGGGAAGAAGTTTCTCCTTCCGCGGGTATTTACAGCCGCGAGCTCATCCACTGAAGTTTGTAACGCGAAAAATGGCAGGAATTGCCGTTCCTGCAGGAGCCGGGAGGGCGGGCAGCGAAGTTGGGCTGGGAAGTTCCCGTTTTTATCGGGCGCGGCGGAATTTGATGGTGGCGGTGCGATGGGAACTCAGCGATGCCCCAGAAATCAGTGGCTGATCTTAAATCATCCCCCGCACCCGGCTCGGGGTCCCGATGAAAGGAAAATGTTTCTATTCCGAGGAAAAAGCCGAGCGGGGCTGGGTGTGAGCGCGGGGTGCGTGTCCGCCAGAGATAATTTATAAATACCCAGAGGAGCAGAGATTTATTAGGAATTCATAGGATTCAAATAAAATAAAATAAAATAANAATAATAATAAAAAAGAACCCCAAATCCTTTCCTGGGCAAACCTGAAGTTTTCACTGCTCTGCCTTTTGCTGAATGCACGAGGGCGAGATTTTCCTTAATTTCCCTTTCTCTTTACCTTTCGTATTTCATTTTATAGCGTTCAAACAGAGTCTGGAGATGCCGAAACTTTGCCTCTCGCACCAACCTCTCGCCTCCCGGTTCGTTTGCATCGGTTTAAATTGTCCCGTTCTCCCCCCAGAACGCGGTTTATGGAGGAACCGGAGGGTTTTTCTGATGGAACTTCGGAGAAACATCGAGTAAGAAAACACCCTCTCGCCACAATCGGAGAAAAAAACCCCATTGAAATTATTCCCACCGTTCCTTCCGACCTCATTTGTGGCCGAAGGATTAGAACGCCTGAATAATTATATTTTTTTTTCTCTCCCGCAATTTCGAAGAAAAAAAAAGAGGCCGAAATAAAAGTGAAGTAAATGGAGTTAAAAGTTGCCATTATTGCTGCTGCCCCAGTGATGTATTTGTGTGCATCCCAAACCGTGCTGGTTAAAAGCGTTTTGGGTTAATTTACTGGTTTGTAGCCTTCAAAAATATTTCTAAACCTATCAAGTGAAGGTCTCGAGCAAAGAGTAGCAGCGTCGCCAAAAGAAGGAGCAAAATGCACCAAAAATGGCTCGTTTAACTCCGAAAAAGGGGCTGCTCTGCTTTTGTTGGGTGGGGGTTGTTTTTTCGGTCGTTATATGGGATTATATCTATGGGATTATATCTGTGGGATTATAAAACACATAAAGCACAGAGCCCAGAAAGCAGAGATCACCCTGACGGCAAAGGGGAAGAGTCGGGAGGGGAAAAAAACCCCCCTGATTCTGTGAGTCCCTTTCTCCCCCAAATCTTTGAGCCACCCTCTTTTTCGACAGCACCAACGTAAATCTTGGGGGGTTTGGGATAATTAACCCGCCCTCCCACCGCCACAAAAGACAAAAAAAAAGCGATTTTTTTTTTATCCCCCTCTCTAAACGAATATTCCGAACAGTCCCACCTCTCGCCGCCTCCCAGGCAGTATTTCTAATTTTTTTTAATTATTATTATATATATTTTT